CTTCTTCTTCTTCTTCTTCTTCTTCTTCTTCTTCTTCTTCTTCTTCTTCTTCTTCTTCTTCTTTCTTCTTCTTCTTCTTCTTCTTCTTCTTCTTCTTCTTCTTCTTCTTCTTCTTCTTCTTCTTCTTCTTCTTCTTCTTCTTCTTCTTCTTCTTCTTCTTTTTCTTCTTCTTCTTCATCTTCTTCTTCTGCTCCTTCTTCTTCTGCAACTGTCCTCCTCTTCCCAGTTGGGGACTCCAAGTGCTTAATGGTCTGTATCTAATGCATTTAATCACTACAAAAAACAAAAATCATTATTCTTACTGCCCTTGGTCACCTTAAATAACAAAATACATCACACCAAGTGCATTTAGTCACTTTTAATAACAAAATTTATGATACCTAGTGAGTTTTAGTCAAATTAAAAAACAACAAAATTCATGATACCTAGTGAGTTTTAGTCACATTAAAAAACAACAAAGTTCATTACATCTAACGCATTTATTCGTATTAAATAGCAAAATTCATTATACCTAGTGAGTTTAACATTTATTTAGGATGACGAAATGTCCCCTTAAAAATTATGTTTTTTAAACACACATATTCATCTTAAATAACAAAATTCAATTTATCTGAACCAAATTGTCATTACGAAAAGGAATGAACGATCCACAGACGACAAGAACGAATAAGTAGCGCTGTAAAAAATTCATTTACATCATCTGAAGATAGCTGTCTGATTCTAAATGAAGCTTTACGATGAATCTAGTGTGCACGAAATGTTTGTATAAAGTATAGAACATCGTGAATCCCTACTCTACACATAGCCTTGAAGCAGACGTTCGGGTCTGGTGTGTTTCAGTTTAAGGCGCAGTCTTTGGCCTTACAGCAGCGGTTCTCAACTTATGAGTCGCGACCCTTGTGTGGGTCAAACGATCCTTTCACAGGGGTTGCCAAAGACCATAGGAAAACACATGTTTACTGAAGTAATGAAGAAGCACACACAATGAAGAACTGTATTAAAGGGTCGCGGAATTATAAAGGTTGAGAACTACTGCCTTTGAAGATGTTAAACTCATTTAACTGAATCCGGTCCCGTCAGCTGAAGAATCACTTTCGCAGAAGATCCGGTAAGTGTTTCAGAAACCAGTGGATTGTTACAAAGTCTAGTAGATTGTTACGGAAACCAGTGAATCGGGCACATGTCTTAGTAGCAGTTGCTTCTTGAGCTGGGATTAGTGACTAGTGACGTAACTCTTCTCTGTTTTTTTCAGTGATGACATACATTGAATTGTGCTTGGTAGTTGGCAAGCTGTCTTTGTTAATTGTGGGAGACTGTAACACTAGAAGACACCACACGCTCTTTTTGTACACAGTCGGCTGATTTTTAACATGGCATAATAACTACCATAATATGTTAGTTAGTTAGTTAGTCGTCAGATTATCGTCCCTGCATATCGAACCATTCAGTCCATAAGTGCTCGGATCCCCTCCTTAGCAAATCCCGCAGCTTGTAGCGGTTCACTTCACCAGTTCTGAGTTAGTTTCTTATTCTTCTATATCTAGAGCCGTGTTAGCGCAGTCGATATGAGACTCGCTTTCAAATCCAGCTGCGACTCGCTGCAGCCACGGTCGGTGTTCGAAACCGGGCGGTTCCCGAGGTTCACCCTAGCCTCTAGGAAATGGGTACCAGAGTAAGGCTCTGGGGTAAATAGAGGAACGTCGCTGTAGCTACAAAGTTACGTGCGGACGGTGACACAGGCAGACATTTTCTTATCAGCTGGCCGTACTGGTGGCAGAGCACTCATGGTTTTTTACCGTGTGCAATGACGCTGGTTCAAATCTCCCGACTTTACCGTTTTTTTATTTTGTTTTGTTTTACTCTTCTATGTCTACCTACATAGTGCTCTCGTCTGGCCACACCCCTGTTAACTTGCTGTTCTTGCAGTCTGGTCATTGTTTGCAGTTCCCAGTCGTCTAGTTTATTAGACTCACAGTTCATATGTGATTATTTGAAAATTTCGTTCCCAAGCCTTTCATGATTTAAGGTAATAGTACATAGGTCCTATCTATTCCCTTTTTGTAAATATTTGCCTAATTTATGAAATTCAGTTTCCAGAATAAAGCGGAAACCTCATATATTCACAGCAAGAAACTGAAATCATGTACAAAGTCGACCAAGATACCAAGGAGATTGCTTCTTAGATAGTATATTTCGACTATCCGAACGTTACAAACATTGTAACTTTCTATCTCATTATACATCTGAGTGTGGGGCTAAGTGAATGCAATTTAAAAAAAATATATATGTTAATCACCTGTAGATTTTTATTTCTCCGAAGTACAGTCGAATTCGGAAGCTGAAATATTGTGGTCTTATCAAGCGCCACGACCGATTGGGAAAAATTGTAGCAGAAGGCATGGTACCAGGAAGGAGGGGCAGGGGCCGACCGACACGAAGATGGGCACAGGAAATAGGTGATACCTTGAGTATGAAAGTACATGAGGCGGGAGAACTGGTGAGAGACCGAGTTTCTTTCAGGCAGACTGTGATGAGAGCGACGTTCTGCAAAGGACTTGCTACATGATGATGACAGCAGAGTTATGCTAGCAACATTACGAAGTTTTCTCAACAAAATACTCACATGCCAATCTCTTGAATATTAGTTTTCTCACTGACTACTGTAAGACATGAAAGTGCTAGAGCAGCAATCTTCCTGGATACTTTCTTTGTCTGTAAAAAAACCCTTTTCCTCGCCTTCAAACCTATTGGGCACATAGGGCTAGACCTATATTTTATAGAACAATCGGCGCTTGGTGGGAGATGTGGTCAACATCAGGCCAGCCGCCTTTACTTTCCAGGAGGTTACCTATTACCCAATATATGCTGGGTCGACTTGGGAGCCAAAGTCAGCTCTGAAACATGCACGGCTCTGTTATTTCTGCCTAAACAGTTATTCGCCGTAGTAATAAATGAAGGACTGGTAATGGTTGCATTTTCATTTTTTAATTTATTTGTGAAATTTATAGGTAATATAATCCAACCCAAGAATTTTGAACATAAAAATGTATTGTTACAATTTTTACATGAAATTTTCTTGTGCAAATATGTGTCTGCATATTTTACGGATTACATAGGTATGTATTTTTTTACCGGGCAAAATAATGCCAAACTCGTGGGACCAGATTAGTACAGGAATTTTCACATACAAAACAGAAGTTGTATACAAAGGTTTTATACCAGTCGTCTATATGGTAATGGTACTAACAGAGGGCCTTAAAAGTCTTTGGTTAAACACCAGCAAGGAGATCAAAATAGGAATTTTGAGAGCATGCATCTTCCCTTTAGCAACATACCGATGTGAATCGTGGAGTATTTCCAAGTCCTTAAGAAAAAGAATAGGGGCTTTTGAGCTGAAATGCTGCAGAAAGATTCTCAAAATATCTTGGAAAAAGAAGAGGAGAAATACTGACATCTTGAAAGATCTGAACATCAAGGAAGATTGGCTAATAAACAGCATCTTGGTCATATCAAGCGCCACGAAAAAAATAGAAAATAGAAAAAAATTATAGCAGAAGGCATGGTACCTAGCGAGAGACCGAGTTTCTTTCAAGCAGACCGTGATGAGAGAGACGTTCTGCAAAGGACCTGCTACATGATGATGATGACTAACAGAGGTATGTTTGTATTAATTCCTGAAACTCGCATGTGACCATTCATCAGACAACACTTAGGAAGGAATTTGTACATACAAACGAATCACGGTACGCACAAGTACGTACTAATTATGAAAGTCACCTCATCTCGTTTGGATGGAAGATTTCGTGACAGTTCCCAGGGGCTGGCCTATGTTCTAGGGGTGTTATGCCATGACCTGGCTCCCCTTCTATACACACCATGGTGAAACTGGCTGGTGTTCGTTCGATGCGGTCGACATACTGACTCTCAAACGAAACTCAGCATCTTTCTTTGTTGCAACTGTCTGTTATGTGAGCGCCTGTCCACATGGTAGAGGTTCTGCGCAGTGGGGGGGGGGGGGGGGGGGGGGGGGAGCACCGAAGGCGCAACGGTCGATGAGTATCAAATCATTGATGTTTCTCTAATGTTTACGCTCGTTGGCGATAGCCATCGTCAGGGGAGGATGTTCTTAAAAAGTTCAAGACAAGCAACCATTGACACCCCTAGAACACAGGGCAACCCGTGGGAATGAATACGAAATCAAGCGAGATGGGGTGAGATTCGTGTATTGTACCCACACGTTTTATACCAATCTACTTTTTGTGAGCAGTACAACTGGTCGAATATGTACATTTCTTTCTAAAATGTTACATACAAAACAGACAGATGTACACACAAGCGTTATACCAGTGCTTTACTTGTTAGCGGCATACATTGTTGTCAATTTGTATTTTACTTCATAAATGTGTTTAGGCTATTCGTGAGAGAACGTGTGAAAATACACGTTGGGAACTCTTGCCTCCAGTGGACTAAACTGCCAACACAGCTTCCTCTAAATTCTAGGGGGCAGAACTGCTTACTGAGTTTCATCTTATCCTCAAGTGACGGCCCCTAGAATATCCCTTGAATTTACTTTCCCGGCCTCACGTGCCTCGCCTGACTTTTGTCTTGAAATCGACATGGCTGCCACGAGACACGAAGATAAGTGATATGGAGTATTTGTGTGGTATTGACTAATCTATGTATGTGCTGAAGAAGGCCCATAGCCGCAAAGTTCATGTTTTGTTTGTGTTTGTTATATTGTGAAGCTCGCTGATATACTTTTCGGTCGGTATATCTTCTCCCCACATGTTTGAAGAAATCTGTACATTAAAAAAAAAAAAAAAAAAATACAACAACGATGGAATACAATACTTTTACATCAAACCATTTTTGATGAGCAGTACACCTTGTTGTATATTTGTATTACTTCCTAAAATTGTTCTGAGACTGTTTTTATGACACCACATTTGTGAAGGAATATTTTTTTTTTACATACAAAAGAGACGCCGTATACAAAGTTTCTATACCAATCCTCCATTTGTGAGTGGTACTGTTTCGGTTTTTGGTTGGATCAGTGCTGTGTGCGGGTGATGCGACTGGTGTTGATGGTGTGGGTGATGGATGGGTAGGTGCTGTTCTCCACCACCACCGTTGTGATGGCTGTTATGGTTCTGGTGGTGTTGAGATACTTGCTGCTGCTGCTGTTGTTGTTGGTGATGATGCTGTGTTTGAGCTTGAGGGTGATGTGGATGAGGGTGAGGGTGATGATGTTGCGGTTGTTGTTGCTGCTGACCAGCTGGGACGTCGTCTTTATTTTCCTGGTCTTCCCTTATTCTGGTTTTTGCTCGTTCAGTCAATTTCTTTCTCTTCATTCTTCTGTTCTGGAACCAAACTTTGACTTGTCGCTCCGAGAGCTGGAGTTTACACGATATTTCCCATCTTTTCTGTCGGGTTATGTAGGAACTGTTGAGGAATTCGTTCTCCAGAACCATAGTCTGGTATCTGGTATATGGTTTTCTCTTTTTTCTTCCTTTCGTCTCTGTAACAGAAAAAAAAAAAAAAATAGTTACTTATTTGTATACATTGTTTATAGCCTGAGACAAACCGCCAACATAACAATCCAAAACAAAGTTAGAAATGATAGTATCAGACACACTACGGCAACAACAGCATGCAGCAAATTCATCAAGAAACACAAGATCAAATGGTTTGGTTATCTAGTAAGAATGCAGCCAGAACAACGAGCAACGCAGGCTCTCCAGACGAGAGAATCTAAAGTGAAAGCAAGAGGTGGCATTAGGAGAAAATGGACTGATGACATTGAAGAGCTTCTAAATCAGCCGGTAGGGACCCCTTTTTTGGGTCGGGTCGAATGACCCATTTTCAGGGTTCGCCTGGAGAAAATAGTAAAACACATATTCCCTGAAGTTATAAAGGAAAATAATTTATGGGGGGAGGGTGGGGGGTGGGGCGCAACAACAAGAGGGATCTGACTTAAAGGTTCCCGGCATTAGGAAAGTTGAGAACCACTGTTCTACATCGACACGGAATGTTAAAAGCCATTGCTGCCCATCAAGCAATGGATCGAAAACTGCTCCTCCCCACAACGCCTAACAGAAGAAATGAAAACTGGTGATGATGATGAGTGTTTATAGTTGTAGATTTACCAGAGGAATTATAGCGTCTGATTTTCAGTAGGTACGTCGGAAGCTTCACAATTCACCAAATAGCATAGTTAAACACCAAGCATTAGCGATCAACCTAACGGGCCCCCTGAATTAAGAGAAACACCTGTGTATAATCATTTGTCTCCATCGACTGATCTAGCTAAATCACTTTTTTCTCTAGTGCTATACTTCTCCACCTCCCCCACCTTCGCTGGAAAATGATCAAGCTAGGCTTTTTCCGAGTACCAGCTGAACCGTATGCGGATCTCTCCCACATACACTTACCTAATCTAGGCCATAAGTCACACACAAACTTGGGCCTGTCACCGTAGATCTCGCAGCGACAAGCTCGGGCGCACGCCCACAGGCGCCAGCCTATGTTTCTGAATTCGCTCAAAAGAAAACTTCAACATGATCGTCCCTGTCCTATTTAAGACAGTTGAGAGTCGACCTGATATTTTTAATTCTTCACTTGCCTACCAGGTGGTTTTTAATTCTTTAAGTAAAGCAACGACAGAGGACGCCAGAACAAAGAAATTACAAAGGATAGTGTAGGGCAGGGGCCTTAATAGACACAGGCCTTGTTTAAGTTTGTAATAAAATGGTAATGTAATTATTCAATTATTATAGTGTTATAAACTGAAAATAAATGTAATAATACACGTTCATACAACAAAGTATTGAGATTGATATTTTTTAATATGCAAGACAAAAAAACCATCTATGAAAGAAAGTATGCAATCCAAAGAGGCAACCACTATTATGATCTGGCAACTTTTTATTGCCGCCGGATAAGCAGACAACAAACAAGCAGCCATTTTGTTGACCTAGTAAGAGGTGCATTGTTATGTAATTAGCATGGAGCAAAAAGCTAACATTAAATTATGTTTAAAACTAAGAAAAACCGCCACTAAGACAGTTGAACGGATGCGGCAAGTTTATGGGGATAATTGTTTATCTCGTGCACAGAGTTTCAGGTGGTATTCACGATTCAGAAGTGGTGTGCAAATGATTACAAATGCAATTAGACCTGGACGCCCAATTTCTGTTCGTAATGAGGAACTCATTGCAAAATTTAGAGAACAGATACAAGGATATCGTTGTTTGACAGTGAGGATGATAGCAGATGATTTTGGTAGTAACGGAGAGACCATTCCCAAAATTGTAATTGAATGTTTAGGCAAAAAAAAAAAAAAAAGTTGCTTGTCGGTTTGAACCACATTTGTTGTCCGATGACCAAAAACATCAGCGTGTTGAGTACGCAAAAGACATCATCAAAAAGTGTCACAGAAATGTACATTTCCTAAATTTGATTGTTGCAGAGGATGAGACATGATTTTCCGCTATGATCACACAACTAAACGCCAAAGTGCTCAGTGGAAGACAACATCATCACCGAGAAGGCACACACAACAACAACAAAAATTCGTCTTTAAAAGTCTAAAGTGAGGACAATGTTGGTGTGCTTCTATGACAGCAGAGGAATTATTCACAAAGAATTTATTTCAGAGGGACAGACTGTCACAACCACGTTATTTTTAATATTTTAAGGTTTGAAGTTTGAGGTTTGAACAACAGATCCAAATCATGGCACACGGGTAGTAACCCAAAGTGCTCTGTTCTTTTTCTAACTCAAATCTGAGTCCAGAGAAGCTCAGCACAGCGCAGATGCTCTGTAGCACCGGCGAGGATCCTGAAATTCTTTGTGTAGATTTTTATCTTCAAATTTTGCCTGGGCAGCGATGTTAGACTACTCTTTTCGATTTCCAACTGTCAATTGATTTTTTACGTGCGCAACAATGCACACTGGTGTTGATCTCACTACCCAGAGACCAGTTGGAATTACTAGAAGTCCAAGTATACATTAAAAAATATCCGGGATTGAACCCGGAACCCCTAGCACTCGAGGCGGACACCATGCCTCGAGTCCAAGCAGCTCCTTTAATATTTTGAAACGTCTATTTTAAAGAACTCTTGAGTCTGACCTGAGTATTCAGCACCTACAAGTTTTTTACCTTCTTCATGACAATGCACCGACTCACCGGGCCGTAGTTGTACAGGAATTTTTCGCCCAAAAACAACTGTATGTTCTCAACCATACTCTGTTCAACAGATTTGTCTCCCTGTGATTATTTTCTATTCCCAAACTTAAAGATGCCATTGAAGGAACACTTCTTTGACGATACTGATGACGTCCAAACATCGACTTTAAGGGCAATAACAACAAAAGAACTAAAAAAGACGCTCCAGGGTTATTTTAAATAGAATAAACGTTATATCTTCAGCTGTTGATTTTTTTTACCTTTTATGGAATTCGTCTCATTACTTGATTGTCGGACCTTGCATATTCTAGTTAATATTAAATATTTAAACAACTATATATATATATATATATATATATATATATATATATATATATATATATATATATATATATATATATATATATATATATATATATATATATATATATAACAAATATTAGTATAGCGGCTAGCGGTGTCTGTAGCTTGGGCGTTGTGAGTCCGAATCGTAATTTCAACGTACCGCGATCGAAACTCACTGCTGACTGAGTGGATTTTTATCGTGGTATGGGGCGTCGCAGTTCGACCTAGCCTAAAATGGGTACCAGGATAGCTGTTCTGGGGAAGTAAAGACGGCCGGCGTAATGCTGACCACATTACCCACCCAGTGCTGATTGTTCTGCAAAAAATATGGGGTGCTCTTTGCATATACCCGATGCGCCTAGAGGCGTGGAAAATGATCTTTACTTACTCACTTTTACGACGGATCTCACGATTATGGGTTTTGGACCAGCTGGAGGGGACCTGTTTTCAAAAATGACCTTGGTTCCCATGTCAGCCCATTCTAGACTTGGGATCCGAAATAGTCCAGGGAAGTAAAAGCGGCTGATGTAATCGCCCACCGAGTGCCGATTAGTGTATACAATATAGGTCTAGCCCTATATGCCCAATACGCCTGAAGTGACTTTTACATAAACAAACATTTAAAAAGAGAACATCGGTTAATTTGAAGTTAGTCTCCCCAAATAGAGTAGGTCACTTTTCATTTACGAATTTGTTGGGCTGGTCGACTTTCCTGAAGGTTACGGGTGTGTCCCGCTATGTTGTTTGGTTTCTGTGATGTGTTGCATTTATGTTTTTGTTCTGAGAAAGAGAATACCTGTGACATAGGTTGCATCACTCCTTAGGAGAGTTGTGTTAGTTACAGAGTCTCCATGTTTTTGGAGTCTTAAAAGCGCTGGCGTGCTGAAATATTCAACACGTGATATCAAAGGCATCTGGAACACCTCCGTAACATTGTGCGAAGATTACGGGGCTCAGGAACTACCAGTCAGAAGTGAGCTAGTCTTTATATAGGCGGGGTCTTTGGAGACTCACATTACTTTTACCGAGAACATCTATACATGTTTAGGAGGGGCCAGACATTTTAGTGCCAACCATATTTTCCAGGCGTAGTGTCTAGCATCCCGCACCCCCCCCCCCCTTTTTTTTTTTCGCACCCACATTTTTTTCTTTCGAAAATATTGTGGGGAGAAAAGTGTGTGGATAGTTAGGGAGCAGAGGTTGCTCAAGGTACCTGAGCCTTCAGGTTTTCAGCGCCTATGGAAAAGGGATTCTGTTTCTGTTTATACCATTGCCACATGGAGATCTGATGCCATAATTATAACTGTATGTGCTATTGCCTACGGTGGTCAACATCATGCCTGTAGCTTTTGCTTCCTAGGACATTTCCTGCGAGTCTGGGCTAATTTTGAAAACAAAATCAGACTATTTGAATTTTCAAAGTCATAACTGTATGGCCACGTCTGTCAGCATTAAACAGTTCAGGTTTAGACGGCTCGACTGCAGATTGAAAAGTCGAGGGTTCGGTTCCTGACGTGGCCCGGACGTTTTTTATTAAATGACTGTGGCTCCAAGGTCGACCTAGCAACGAGTGGGTATTAGGTACAGTCCTGGGAAGTAAGGGAGGCCGGCGTGAAGCTGACCACATCACCCACCAAGTGTCGTTGGTCTATGAAATATTGGTTTAGCCCTATATACCCAATACGCCTGAAGAGCGTGGAAAAGGGTCCTTTACTTTGCATTTGTTTATCTCTTTTGCACGCTGCTTTTTTTTAAAATTTGTTTCCATAGCAAGGCGCACACGCCGTCTGGAGGTGACAGGTTCGATTCCCTGAACGGTAACTTAGCTTTTAATGTTTAAGTTGTCTAGTG